CTGTGCCCCGTGCTGATAACGGCTTGGCGAACGAAGCCTCGTGGGAGGGTCCCCATCCCAGGAGCTAAAGCCCCCTGGCCCAGCGGGGAGTCCAGAGGCATGCGAGCAGCAGCAAAGCAAGCGCGGGGCAGCTCGGTGCCGAAAGGGTTAATGGGAGCATCTGCGCAGCCAGCCCCAGCCGCCTGCTGAACCAGCATCTTACCCCGGAGCAACAAATCGCCTTAATTAAGGCCGGTGGCAGTGACTGATTCTGGACAGCGAGCCCAGCCTCCGGGGCTCTTCCTTTGTAAGCGGGCTGAGAGCATTTCAGCAGGAGAGAGGATCTCTCTTGTGTCCCCCGCCCCCCCCAAGCAGCCAGCAGCCCCCTGCCAGCGCAGGGACGTGGGGCAGCTGGCCACAGGCCCGCGACCCCGCTGCGAAACACCTGCTCGGAGACACCGCCGCCCAGCCCGGGCCCCTCAGGGCCTTGCAAGCCTGCCTCTGGTCCCCCCCATACGGATTCGCTGCGGCCACGTGCCGCACATGCTGCAAACGTGGGGCTCGTCCTCAGCTTCCTCCAAGGCGCTGGGTGCAAGGAGACAGCGATTGCCCTTGTTTTCATTCGCTCTGGCCTGGTTGCAAAGCGTGTCTCCACTCCCTGGACGCCCAGCCCCAGCAAGGACCTGCAGACGTCACAGACCGGGCCGCACATCCCGTTTGCAAAGGGCGCGAGCAGCCAGAGGCTCCCGTTACTTCTGAATGCCTCTGGGAAGGGGCAGGAGCGACGTCTATCGCTGCCCCCTGCTACCCTGTTGGCTTCGAATAACCCCCTGGCATGACTGCCTTCCCATCCCTGCAGCCCACGCAGACCTGTGGTAGCGCTGGGGGGGGAGCAGACTGCGTTCCCCCCGTCTATCGCAGGGAAACTGAGGCACAGAGCGGCAACAAGACTTGTTCCACAGGGAGTCTGTGGCAGAGAAGGTGTCCCAAGTCCTAGGCAATGCCCAAACCACTCCAGCTTCATAGTTTCATAGTTGTTAGGGGCTGGGAGGGACCTTGCAGGTCATCGGGTCCAGCCCCCCTGCACTTGCCCCTTCCAGCCCAGCCCCAGCCCCAGCCCTGGGTCTAACTGTTTTAAGCTGGGTCCTTGCCCAACTCCATGCCCTCCCCAGCTGGCTCTCTCCAGCTTCTCCATGCCCCAAACCACAAATATTGTTGCTATTAAACACATACGAGAGCCTGGAGCGAGGCCTGGGAAAGGCGGGCAGAGATGGAGGGCAGGTTTCTCTGTCCACCCCAAGGCTTGTCATGACAGGGAGGCAAAAAGCTCTTGCTGGGCAACCCCCCAGCCCAGTAAATGTCGCCTTGGTCCAGCCCCCTGCACCGGGGCAGCTTCCCTTCCAGGCCCGGCTCCCACCGAAACCAAGGGCATCTGTTTTGAATCCAGCCATGGGTTTCGGGAGGTCCAAACCCGCTGGGCCAGGCCCCAGATGGTAGCGGGTCTTTGTCATGGCCACCACGGTGGGCAAAGACCTCCAGAGCGAGGGGCACCGTCGCTGGGGGCAAAATCGTGGGGGTCTATAGCTGCGTAGACTGGAATAAACTGGGAAGCACTGGTGGGGCTGTCCCGCTCCCCTAAACCACGGCTCCTGGCCCAAAAGCCACCCCCGTGAAACCAAAACCACAGGGGAGCAGGAGGGAGGCACGTGGCCACGCTGACCCACACGTGGCCCATGCTCGGTGCCCCGTGGCCGCGCTGACCTGCAGCTGCTGTTGACTTTGGCCCGAGGAGCAGGACGAGGGCTGGCCCAGCCTCCATGGCTGCGGGGCTCCTCTCCGCCTGCCAGCGCTGAACAAAACCCTTTTATTTGCCAGGTCGTGGCTCTCCGCCGGCACTAAAGACCAGAAGTGCGAGGGGGAAAGCAGCTGAGAACAGCCCGACGTCCGGGCCCACGTCTGACGCAGGTGGCCAGCCAGGCCGGTGCCAAACGCCAGAGGGTGCCAACCTGGTCCCTCCTCCGAGGCCAGCGGGGCTGCTCCGGGGCTGCTCCACGCCTGCTCAGCTCAGGATTTGGCCTGGGGCTTGGCCTTGCACCCTTCCAGCGACCTGTGGCAAGGCACGAGTGGCCGCTGTCCCCTGGGAGTCTTTTCCCAATGTGCGACTGGCATAAAGCCCCAGCTCCCGGAGTCAGGGGATTTCCTAAAAAAACACGTCTCCACTTGCTTTAAAAATCAACGTGTTTCCCTCTTTCCTGGTTGTGGGGGAAAAGCTTGGCCCCGGTGCCCCCTCAGGGCGGGGAGATCCCCACGTGGCTTGGTTTTATTCAAATCTGATGGTTTTTAAGTGATTGTTTGGGGCCGGTGGGGTTGGCGGTGCAGAGAGAGGCCCCTCATGGCTGCTGGAGGGCAGGAGCTCGGCTTGTGCGAACGTGTAGCACCTTCATTTGACGCCAGCCCTGTCCAGGGCACGGATCTCAGCCCAGCTCCGAGGAGCAAACTCCCCCGGCATCCCAGTCAGAGGGACGCGGCGGGGTTGCGGGGCACTGGGAGCCCTGGACTCATGTACCGGAGGGGGCCGTGGGTCAGGGTGGAGATGCATCAGCTAAGCCCCGCAGTCAAGGGAGACTGGGGTTGGGATTGAGACTGGGGACCAGGAATGAGGAGCCGATTTCCAACAGCGCAGGTCTCTGTTACAGCTGGCCATCACCCGCGGCCTCATCTTCTCCTTTCCCCAGCTCCAGCGCCCCGTGAAACGTCTCTGCCAAGCTGCGAACAGGGCGTCGCGCTTCCTCCGAAGCGGGCACGCTGCATTGCCAACTAGACCCCAGGGCGCACCCTGAGGCCTTCCCACAAAATAAACCCCACTCATTCCTCCCACAGTGGTTTCAGGCCCCTGGCAGACAGCAAACTCAGGCAGACGTCGCTGCATCGATCCCCTCAACTGTTGTGGTTCCAGGCTTCTTGTTTCTCACCTCCTCATTTTTGCTTTTTCCTTTTAACTGGAAACTGAGTTTCCAAAGACCAGTTGAACCCCCCCGGGGAAGGAAGCAGAGCACCATACCGCCCTGTGCTGGCTCCATCTCACCTCTGGCCCGGCCGAGTGGATGAGAGCATGCATAGCACATCGTCCAGATAGTTCGTCTGCAAGGCTCGCCCGCGACTGCAGAGCATCAGCGACCCCTTCTCTCTCTAATGCGGGCTCACCCCCGAATCGTCCGCCCGTTCCCCGAGCTCCTGGGATGTCTCCTTGACTGCTGAAAACCTCGCTAGGCTGGAAGCGAGTCTGCAAAGACATCCTGCCGCTGCAGCGAAAAGCAAAGCCAACCTCTCACAAGCAGGGAGGTCCGTCTCCGGCTTGCAAAGACCGCACCTTGCCATCCTGCGGTTCTCGAGGGCTCCAGAAGTTCAATGCAGCCGGAGGTTTAGGACTTCACAAAGTCTGGCACCACTTCTCAGACACTTCTTCTTCGCGGAGGCTGGATACTTCACCGCCAAGCCCCACAACATTCACGGGGACATACACAACGCACCATACTGACCCACGCGTAGGGATACAAACCCACGTGTCCTGCTCGAGTGGCATTCACTTCTGAACCCCTCCTGTCCCCCGCGTGCCACACTGGGCACTGGGGTGCGTCGGGGACAGTGACGCCTGCTCTGTGCTGGAGGCTGGTCTGGATGCGACCCAGGGTCCCTCTGCAAGGGAAGAAAACCCACGCATACAAAGAAGGGGGGATGGAAAAAACCTTTAATACCCTGGGGAGAGTCACAACGTGGTGCTTCTGTACAGTGTGGTGGCAGACCAGGAGACGGGGATCTTATACCACCAGGACCCTGTTAAAACTCAGCCCCCGGGGTCTCCGGGACTGGGATCACAGCAGTGCAGTAGCTGGGGGAGCAGAGCTGGACACCAGGGCCAGGAGGGAGGAAATGTTTCTCCCATCCCACGAAAAAGCTCAACGATTCCAAAAATCCCAAATCCGGCCAGAAAAGCAACATTTCTTTGCCGTCTAAAAATAATCAAAAACACTCAGGGTGGGTCCAGCCAAGGGCTCTGCTGCCAGCGCGCCCTTTCTGAAAGTATAATTAGCCTAATTGGGAAATGCCAGGCCCTCTGTAGCTGCGCAGCAGGCACTGTCCACGTGGAGATGACTTCAGCCAAACGCTTGGCAACTGAGACTGTTTTTCCCCAAATGCTCCGGAGTCGAAGCCGCGCGGAAACCACGAGAAGTGTTGCGGTTTAGACGAATGCGTGTTTTCAGCATTAAAAATAACCTCCCAGCCCAGCTCAGCTGGAAACGCGGAAGCTGCTCGGCCCGGGGCATGTCAGTCCTTGCTGGTTAGCGCAGGGAGTCTCAACCGGGGACGCCGTGAGAGCCGTGGAAGGGGGTCGCTCAGGGTCATCGGTCACTGCGAGGCGTGCAAACCCCTCCACCTCTCAGCCCGGAGGTTGCAGACAGGAATCCAGAGAGTCGCATCCCTCCTGCCCTCGCTGTCATTTCGGAGGTCTTTGCAACAGAAGAAAGGCTCTGCTGTTTTTCTACAGCCAAGAAAGCAAAGCACTGGCATTATCTGCATGGGCCTGGAGTCTACCGAGGGATGCCCGGAGTCTAAAAAAGGCTGAGCACCACCACGTTCCTCCGCTTTGCTGCTGGAAGGCCAGATGCTGCACGCCGTTCCCATCTGATCAGCCCTCCCGGGCAGGTTTCCGGCAGGTCCTTCGCAAGGCACATCCGTGGTAGCGAGCCTCCCCGATGCTCACTTCTAGTTGTGCTGGCTGCCGGAGGCTCTTCGTCTTGGGGACGTGGCTTCATGCTTCTCCCGAGCCATTTGTTCTTGGGGGTGGCCAAAAAGCACCGCTGGGCCTGGTCTCTCCACACCTGATTTGGGAGCTGGATGGGGAAGCAGTGGCTTGGCCTCTCCGGACTCACTGTGGATGTGCCTTGCACAGCTGAGACCCTGCCTGGGGGGTCCCCCCAAGCCCCCAAATCAATAGCACTCCCCTCTTTCCCCCTCCCCCGCCCTCCTGTCGCCCCCTTCACCCAGCAAAGGGGCACGTCGTAAAATGACCCCCCCCGAAGAACCGCGCAGAGGAGTTTTGAGCCGGGGGGTCAGCTCGTGAGATCCCCCCCATACTTCCCCACCGAGGCCCGGGGGAAATGCTCCGGTGCGGGCAGCCTGGGCGGTGAGGAGGAGCCCAGCACCCCCCGGGAGCCGCTAGTAATAGTCCTCCAGCTCCTCGCTGTCCAGGTAATCCTCCGGCCCCGGGCGGGGGTTTGGCAGGAGCAGCCCCGTCACGTTCAGCTGATCTGGAAATGCGGCACAGACACGGCGGCCGATGGGCCCATCTCCTCTCCGCTGCATGGGACCAGCACCCTCTCCTCCCACCTTGCTGCCTCCATCCCACAGCCTGCGGGCAGGTGATCAAACACCTGCCCCGGGGAAGGTCCAGGGGGTCTTGCAACTCTGGACCCAGACCGCCGCATGCCACCCACGGTGAGCTCTGGTCAAGGGGGTTAATTCATGCACGCCATGAAATGGCATCAGCTCTTTCATCCTGGCGGGTCCCTGGGCCTGCTGTCAGGTGCTGCAAAGGGTGGTATAGGAACCCTGCCCCCCTCGCCCATAGGGACGATGCTCAAATTACCTGCCTACCAGGGTGGTCATTTGGGGCATCAGGGAGTCAAGCCCTGAAGCAGGAGGGTTGATTGGCTTAATCCCCATTATCCTTCTTCCTACAACTTAGCCAAAAGGCACCCCGTACTCTCCAGAGCCTGGCATCGCCTCTTGCTAGTGGATAACAACCTACTACTGCTGCCGGCTAGAGCAGCTGCTCCCTTATTCCCATGTTGCGGACGCCCCACAGACTGCCCTACCCCACAACCCACCCCAATAAGCCCCTCCGGCTGGGAAAGCCTCGCTTACCCGGTGTGAGCACCGTCAGGCTGGCAAGCGCCATCGCCTGCCCAACCTTGTTGCGGGCGAAGCAGCGGTAGGTGCCCTCGTCCGTCACCCGCACGGCTTGGATCTGGAGCCACGCGGTCACCTCGTACTTCTGGGGGCCGCCCCGAAACTGCAGGGAGATGCCGTGGGGTAACGTCAGCAGGGCGCTATGCTAAGCTGTAGGGCCCGGGCAGTGCAGACCACCAGGCCCCTTTTGCATCGGGGCGACTGGAGGAAAACTCCCCCCGTGTCGGGATGGTCTCCTAAGGCTGCCGGAGTATTCACTGTGATGGTACATCCAACTGGAGTTTTGGGTTATATGGGGCAGTTTTCTCTATCACCACCTCACTTCTCTCCAAAAGAAAACCCAGAATTTCTTTTCCTGAAATGCCAGGTGTGTGCAGCGGGAGACCCCTATTCTGTGACTGCGGGAGTACCGAGGGTCCAAGTCCACCATAGGGCCTGGAGGGACCCCTTGCCCCTTCTCTGCCATGCTTCTCCCAGATCCACGGTCTGTTCCCAGAAGCAGCTCGGCCTGGTCACAACGATGAGCACGGGAGAGAAGAGGGATAGTGAGGGCCAGTTTCAAGGGACCTGAGACGCACGGGCCAGGGGTCACACCCAGTGCTAATAAGACAACCCTAGGAAACAACCATGGTCACAGGTCATGCCTCAGTTTCCCTGCTCCCTACTCAATCGGCCAAGAGATGGTTATCCCAGAGAAATGGGCAAGAATAGGGACATCTATACCTGGGCTGTATCAAAAGCAGAGGGGTGGGAGTCTAGGACTTGTCCCGAACCCTGAGCACGGGCTCCGAGGGGCCTGGGACCTCATCACTGCTGGACGTGGCTGCTCTCAGTCATGTTGCCTGCCTGCTGATATCCCAAGACACCAGTGTTTAGGTCAGAGGAGTTTGCCTGGACTTCTCTTGTACTTGTTCAGATAAAATAAAAGCCCTCAGAGTCGACCTTGGGGTAACACTGGGAGACAGCAGGAAGCTCCCTTGGGTGCATGAGCCAAGCCCTGCCTCTGCCAGGCCCAGGACAGTGCCCTCAGGAAGCACAACAGGACCAGCACTATCCCCGGTGCAACTCAGCAGGGCTTCCCCCATGGAGGCTTTTAGGCTGGGGTACCGATGCTCCTGCTGGCACCAACCCCGCAGGGTCCTGGCTAGAGGGTCTTGCCCCTGCGCTCGGGCTCAAACCGATGCCACATTTGGGGTCAGGAAGAGATTTCCATCCTGCTCAGATTGGTATGGATTTAGGGTTGGGGGGGGTTCGCCTTCCTGTCTAGCAGGTCTCCTGAGCATCCATTAACAGCCTTTTACAGAGGCAGGACCCTGGCCACCGCAGTCCCCCTGCTTTCCCTGTGACAGATTCAGCCGTGATGTCTTGGTGGTGTCAGGGCTGATGGGCGTTTTCCGAAGAGTTGACATGACGGGTTTGTCCGGCCTAGGTTTGCACAGGGCTGATCCTGCTTCAGGCAGGGGTTGGACTAGACGTGACCCCGCGGCTCTGTGCTTTCGCTACCATCGTCTGCAGGGGTCTAAGCAGCACGGCCGCTCTGGTTGTTGAAGGATAACAGCCTCCTACTGCTGGGAAAGCCGCTGGCCGTGCACACACACACGCACACGCACACATGCACGCATGCACACGCACTTCCCTGGACTGATTTGGCAGACCTAGGAGATTGGGATACAAAAGTCTCCCTCTAGCGGCCCGGTGAAGGCAGTGGTACCAGCACGGAGGCCGGAGCTCCTGCAAGAGGCAGGTGACGGGGGATAATATGATGCTGAGGGAGCAGAGGGGATCCAGAGAGCCATTTCCCAAAGCCAGCTCTTCCGTGCGTGGCCCTGTCAACGTCCCCGTACCCGAACCCTTGCAGCCAGCCGGGAAAGGAGCTGCTGGCAGCGAGCAGAAAAGCAACCGAAATGCTTTTCAGATGCGGAGATCTCTGGCATTCACAAGGGACCGAGAAAGCCCTAGCCGGCTGCCTCGCGGTTCTCCCGCAGGACATGCAATAGCTGCGCCGGGAAAGCCTCTCCGCAGACCCGCGCACCTGAGCTGCAGCCAGGAAATTGCACTGCCGAACGGTGGCCCGGGAATCGTACCTGGGCCCACCCTGCAACACCAGCCCCACACCCGTCTGCACGTGCTGCCAACGAGCCGCGGCCTCTGCGGCCAATATGGGCCTCGTTAAAAAAAAAAAGCCGTTAGCATTTTCTGCTGCTCGCTTGTCCAATTTAGGCCAGGCGGGGGGAGAGGGGGGTGGAATGGAAAAGTGCATTTCCTTTAGTCCCCCTAGCTGCTTCCTCTTCTCCTTTCTCCTTATTTTGCAGCATCCTAGAGCCGTGGGGCTGGCAGGGAGGTCGCATCTCGTCCAACCCCTGCCTGAGGCAGGGTCAGCCCTGTGCAAACCACCCCAGACAAACCCATCGTCTAATCTCTTAATGAGACGACCATCAACCCTGACACAACACAAGAAATCGCCCCTGAACCTGCCACAGGGAAGCAGGGGACTGTGGTCTACACTGCAGAACATCCCCGCCGCAGACCACAGACCTGAGCCCCCACTGTCTTTTTTCCCCTAATAAAACCCCTGCTTGCTACCTCCACGTTATCGGGTTTCATTCATGCAACCACGAGCCTGCGTGCAAGGGGGAAAAGGGCTAGAAAGATGCTCTCCTGGCTTCAAACCCTGAGCCTCTGCATGCCGCAGGCTAATGGCAAAGAAGGGCAGGGACCCCCGTAGTTAACAGCACAACCATTTTCGTTGCCGTCCTCTGGACTCCCTCCAATTTGCCCACATCCTTTCTGCAGCTCTGCAGAGATCCAGCTTAAAC